AAAAAATGTTTCTTACACATGTACAATTAAAAAATTAAAAGTTCACCTCATAAACAGAGTTGTCTAACTATCCATAGACAAAAAAGACAAGCAAAAGCTTAAAGAGTTAGCTTATAGCAAAATCCATGGCCCCATTTCTCTAAACCACACCTGCTGGTGGCATGTTCCCATCTTCACTCATTTCCCGCTTTGTTTTAAGCATACAATGATCAAGCACAAAACAGCAAACTTTTAAAGAACTCATATTACACCACATATGGTTCCTTGCCCTTTGTTTAGACATTGAATATTCATCCCCAAACTGAAATTCCAAATAATCACAAGAGAATATGAAAAACATAGAGAACTTATCCATATCCAATATGCAAGCCCTTAAGTTAGCAAACAGAGTTAAAGCAAAACCAATTTTAGTGAAACCCCTAAACCCTATACCCATTTCAGAAAACCCACTAAACCAATTTCAGAGAAACCCCCAAACCCTAAACCAATTTCAAACAACCCCGTCAACCAATTTCAAACAAACCCATAAACCCTAAGCCGTAAAAGAATTCCGATGAACAGTACCTGTTTGCTGTGAATGATGGCGTTGTTCTTCGATGCACAGATTTCGCTGGGACAGGAAGACAGAAGCGAGAGTGACGGCTGAGCGACGAGAGATGAGAGAGTTAGAGCTGAGAGACGAGAGAGTGAGAGCAGAGTGACCAGAGAGTGAAGATGAAGAGATTGAGCGACGGAGAGCTGATGGGCGGGAAGTCAATTTCAGAAAATGTGTTAGGAGAGCAATAAGGGTACAATAATTTTATATTTATAGTTGATAGTTATAAAAAAATTGGGAAGGGATGGCATTTTTAGTTAAAATTATTAAAGGGGTGGCACTGAGGGTCATTTCCCTTTATTTTTTCCCAAATGAATAAACAATAGATAACCCATATTGCATTACCCGTTTTATTCAACCCACCCGACTGGGCCGGGCAAACGGGTACGGGCAGAGACTGCTATATGCCATAGTGCCACCCGGATTGTTTTGTGTTTTTCAGTTTTGAGTTCACCAAACTATCTTTGTCTACTTTGAACAGAAACTGAAACCATGTCGCGGGAGAGACCCAAAAGAGGCACACTACCTCCGGCTCAAGAGGTACGCAAGCTGGAAATCGTGTTTTCAACACTCAGTTTTGTTCTGGAAATACAGAAAAACATTGAATCTTTTTTTCACGTTTATTCGAAATTCGAAAACCTTTTGATTCAACAAATTATGATGGGTTTTTTATGCCTGTGCTTAAAATTAGCCGATTTTCTCAGATTCGGGATTCTGATTCATCCTTTTCCCTACTCTTTAGAAAACTGTGAGTGAAATGATCACCACTGTTTTATTTTGTTTGATTCGGAATATGTTCAGTGTTATGCATATCTGCATGTTATATAGTCTATGGAGCTGCGTTTGGCTTCTGGGAAAAAGGAGATGCTTGTTATCTTATGTTTCTGTTCTAAAAGATTTTATTTTTATTTTTCATAAAGGTCTCTGCTTTAGATTTCCTATATTTGAGACTAAGATGATACGATCAATCTCATATACATATGTGGGTAAATTCGATGTTAGTTTGAATATAACAAGTCACATGAAAAGAGTTAATTGCACAGCTGCAGTAGAGTTTTCACCTGTCATGGGTTTCATTCTGTCAGTCACAGTTGGTTCAGTGGATTTTGTTTTGGTTCAGATAGTTCCAGTGGATAATGAAGGATGATTTCCAATTGTCTCTTTTTTTTCTAAATGCAGAATATTGAGAAATTAGAGAAAGTTGTAGAGGAAGGTAATTACTATGGAGCTCAGCAAATGTACAAATCCATTAGTGCAAGGTACTGAATTGTCAGCTTGGCTGTTGAGAAACAAACTTTCTTTCTTTGTATTTCTTAAAGGCCATTGTATTAAGTATGCACGTCGATGCAATATTCTTTCTTTATTGCAGATATGTATCTGCTCAGAGGTATTCTGAGGCTTTGGATCTCCTTCAGTCTGGTGCATGCAACCAACTGAAACATGGGCAGGTCGTACTTTCATGGTTCTACTTATAGACATCAATACTTATCTTACCTTTTAGTTGAGATACAACTTTGCATGATTTGGGCATAGGCTAGGGCCTAGGATATGTTAATCTTACATTTTCTTATAATTAATTAAATCTTTAGTACAATGCACCAAGGGTGACACATGCACATGCATATATCATGACATTTCATAATCAAATCTGTAATACTGATGCTGTATATATGAAAACAAAATTCAGGTTACTTGTGGGGCAGAGTTAGCTGCTTTGTTTGTGGATACGCTTGTCAAAGGAAGATTCCCTTATGACAATGAAATCCTTGGTCAGTTGTTACCTTATGATGTAGATTTGAATTCTCGATTGATTCTGTCTGTTTGTTCTTACCCTCTGAAGTGATTTTTAAATGCTTTTCAACTTTCTCTTGGTTGGTTCGGGTCAATTGGTTCTTCTAGTAGGCGTTATTCTTATCGGACTATCATTGTTATGATAAATATAAATTTTTATATGATTTACATGTTTCCATGGCCATTTTTGGTATTTGGTTTTTTTCTATTATTTATAAATATTATGATGCTTCTATTTTGTCATGATTATGACAAAATTATTTTGTTAGCCCGTGTCAGGAAAATTTATAAAGAATTTCCTCGGATACCGGTGCCACAACAGTTGGGGGATTTAGATGACGTGCAACAACTTTCTGAAACACTTGGGGCAGCAAAAACATGTGTTGAGGGCTGCTCATCATTCCTAAAAGTTGCTCTTAAGTGAGTTTTTGTTTGTTTTTTTACCTTTTCCTGATTTTGGAGATTTTTCATGGCATGGTTATGTTTTATTTGGTCTGTTTATATGGTTGTTAAGTCATTCATTCTCTCTTAAGATATCCATGCTTTTTATCTTTTTTTTTTTGGGTCTGATCAATGTGCTCTGATGGTATTCCTTTGAGCTGGGTAATTCTGTAGTTTGGGGTGACCCTGTTGTAGGAGAAATATGGTTTGCATTAGGAGTGGTGAGGGAATCTCCTTGAAACTTCCATTTCTTTTGGCGGGGTATGAAAGAAATAGCATCTAGTTATTAAAGGTTGGTCTAGTGGGAAACCTGCGGTGGCACCTGTGATTTTGTGAGATTGGTCCTGGATTTGATTTAGAATCAGTGGTGTCCTATACAATAGGTGATTTTTGGTAATGATGAGGTGGCTTGAAGGCTGGCTAGTGTCCAGAATGAGGCTTTTACTTATATTCAGGGATGATGCATACATCCTTGCTTTTAATGTCCAAAAATTCCAAACACCCCCCCCCCCCCCCCCCCAAATTTGAAGCAGTGTTTTCATCGTCAAATGTGTCCTGCGAAGATGAAAAAATGCTTCTTCTTTTTTTTTTTTGGGCATATGACATGGTGTCTTTTGTTGAGCACACACATGCACACAATGTATTGCATATCTGATTTACTTATATCAGATCCCACTGTGTCAT